GTCCTTTCGTAATCAATAGGTAATAGGTAATAAATCGTAATTTTAAAAAATAATAATGATTATTAAAAACGTAGTTAAAATATTTGAATAATTTTATCAGGGTCTTGGGAAAAGAAAGGGGTTCTTTTTAACTGAGCTAGTTACTTGAGTGTACCTCATCGATTCACACTGTGAACGGCACTCCACGTAGTCACGATGACCAACGACAATGTACCGATTAAGGACACTATTTTATAGATATAAACATACAGAAGTCAAATCACAACCTATAAAACTTCAAAAGGTAATTTTGTGTCCTTTTAAACAGCATACGACGATTTTTGAAGTAAAAACAAGAAAGAATGCTATGGTCTAGTTCCCCGACAATCAGATACCCGTTACTAAGCTAGTGGAAGTGCGAACGAGATATTTCCACATTTTCTGGAATATCGGTAGATATTAAGGAAAATAAATAATAAAATGAAAAAAAATTTTAAACTTTCCAAAAGTTAGGGCATGACACTTTAAGGCGGTTTATGGGCGTAGGATTGGGCGTGGCAAAACGTTTTTTCGCAAATCGATAGAAATTAAGAAGAGTAATCAAATATGAAAACAATTTTTTAAAATTTGGGGCGTGGAGTTTTGGTCGGTTTGTGGGCGTTATAGTGGGCGTGGCAACATTTGGAAACAAACTGGCGCTGCGTCTATGTCTGTGGAAGCTGCATTCTTAATCTCAAAATTCTAGCTTTAATAGTTCCTGAGATCAAGGCGTTCATAAGGAGAGACAAACATGGCCAGTTTGACTTGGGGTATTGATCATGATCAAGTATTTATGTATATAATTTTAATGGTCGGATATGTAACATACTTTTTAACGAATCTAGTATGCCCTTTTACTCTTTTAAAACCCCTTTACCCTTTTAAAAAGGTACACAAAATGTTAAAAGAATCTAAGCTTTTAAAATCCACTATGTTTATTTATAATTTGAAGTGATTTCAAACAACATTTTATTTTTTTAAATTACAGCTGCTGGAGAAATGTAATTTATTCTTCAAAGTTGGGGGCAGCACTCTTAGTTTTGGAATAATCCCTCACAGGCGAGTAAAACTGAAACGAAAAAATCATTAACATATTATTTTATGTTTTTTTCAAAAACACACAAATTATAATATTAAATCTATCCGTCATCCAACCCTTAAGAGAAGATTTAATTAATTTTCCATTGTAGAAAAATATAATTAATCGAGCTTACTGTCACTATCAACGATCATATGATACGTCAGCCGCATTCTGTTTTACATAACTAACAAACACAATTGTGTACCTAGCAATAGAAATTTCAAATGCAAATTCAAAACAAGAAAGAACGCTATAGTCGAGTTCCCCGCTAGTGAAGGTCCTAACAGGAAATTTTAATGTCATTGGAAAAATCAATAATAAAATAAAAAATTTGTTTAAAACAGTGTTAACATTTTTTTCTTGCAAATCGGTAGAAAATTACAAGACTAATAAAAAAAAATTTTTTTAATTTTTGCAAAGTGTGGGCGTGACAGTTTTGGGCGGTTTGTGGTCGTTGGGGTTGGCGTGGCAAAAAGATTTTTGGCTAATCTATAAAAATTAACAATATATATAAAGAAAAATTTTAAAATATCAAAATATATTTCAAGTTATATTCGGCACCGTTTGGATATTTGCGCTGCGTCTATGTCTCTGGAACCTGCATGTTTAATCTCCGCTTTCTAGCTTTTATAGTTCCTGATAACTCGTCGTTCATACGGACGGACATGGCCAGATTGATCAAGGATATACTTTATATGGTCGTAAACGCTTCTTTCTACCTCTTACATATTTTCAACTAATCTAGTTTACCCTTAAACATTTTTTAAGTGAAAAATAGAGTTTTGAAGGTTTGTGGGCGATAGTGAAAACAAACTCTGCCACTTAAATTAGTTTCAACTTTCTAGCTTTCATAGTTCTCTGAATTTTAAAGCGCATACGGACGTGCAGGTGACGGACTTGGTTAAATCCCTACGCCAAGTTATCCTGATTAATGAAATGTATACTTTTTAAGTTCAGAAAGTACTTTAACGAATCTACTATTCTAGTATCGAGAATTAAAACATTAGAGGGCTCTTATTTGTTTTACATTTGATCACATGACAGTTGTATGTATGTACGGGTATACTAGATTCACTGAAACAGTTAAAAGTTATTGGTATTAATGCTTGATCAATATCTCCAGCTGATTTCATACATTACTTGTGTTCGTTGATACACACAGACTGACTAACAGTCAGGAAGACTTGCCTAAATCGAATCAGATAGTGAACAGCGATATGAAACAAACTCTTTAAAAACAAGGTGATGAAAATGCGAAAATTTTTGAAGCAAATTCATCCCTTTTTTATTTTTATCCGACTGCTAAGCCGACGCTCTCAATCGGCGAGCGCATAATAAAAAACTTTAAATTTGTGACATGCCTAGGTAAAAGGTACGGGGAGAGGGAAATAATAATAAGAGCACGGATACCTTTTCTAAAAGGTACACGCCCTTTTTCGGAGACCCACATGCGATTTGATTTTTGTGAGAAGCAGATGCGTTTTTTATGACAGCCAGTTTCACAAAAGGGATCATTTAAGGTAAATTGTTATAATACATTTTTGTATACATTATACTTTTTTTAACGTTAATTAAGCATGTAATCTCATTTTCCAGCTAGGCCAAACGCCGTAGGCCAACGAGTCTCAGAAAACTTTGAAATTTTATATTAATGAAAAGAGGTTATGAGAAAGCACTATAAAAACGATGAAAAAGGGATTGAATTTCACTCTATTCACAAATAAGTGATAATTCATTGATAAAAATTTAGTAATTTTGCCGGTAAAATGCACATAAACAGTGGTGATTAATAGCGATGATTTAGCTCTGTTTTATCGGTGTTTATGTTATGGTTTTCTTAGCGATGATTTCCTAGGTCATGCCAATGTTAAAATCACCATTAGTTTTCATACAAATTGAGCGGTGATTAAGCGCTCAAGATTTACACTTATCAGTGATACTCCAATTCAAATAACTACCAACCTTTTTGCACATATTTGCAAACCACTTTTTCCAAAGCTTTCGAAGGTATTCTGACTCTCCACAACAATACTTTGGATACTACTTTTTAAGATACTAATTAAAGTCACAACATACAAACATATGTATAACGAAATAAATTCGAATTGATTTAACTATACCAATTTTTTTGTAAAACAAAACGATTGACGGCCATTTCTTGGCCCATAAAAATATGAAAATAGAATTTACAAACAAATTTACAAAAGCTAACCTTGTACTGTTTTTCTTTGTACTCTTGCCATGGCTCGGGATTTGATGTGCGATTCCAAGTCACATCGGGGTTGCGAGTAGCAAGTCGAGCAATATAATAGACAGCTCCAATAGCTCCCGCACCAACGCACACATAAAGTGGAATTAACTGAAAAATTTTGGTTATGCAATAAACCGATATCTTAATTTAATCATAAAACTCACAGCTGGATTTTTTTTAAGACTTTGCAGACCAAGACCTTGCATTTTGTCTGAGTTGTAAATAAAATTTATTTAATATGTTAAGAATAAAGGAATTTCATAAAAATTACCTAACTTTATTCAATCCAATAAAACAGAATGATACTATATATTAGAGATGTACATATGTAAGTCGATGACAACGATGATGCGGTGTCATCGATGTTTTCTAAACATCGGCAAAATGAAAGTTGTGGTCAAACTTAAAAATTAATTTATTCATCCTATACAGATGCCTTTATACTTAAATTAGTTTATAACATTACTGAAAATATATAAATTCTTCTATAATATTATATTATCTATGCGTATTTTCTTCGTATTTAATCCAAACCAAAAATAAAATAATTGTTTCATTTAAAGAAAAATTAGCAAGTAAAAAAAACAGAAGGTATTAAAAACATTTTCGAAAATTGTGGGCATTTCACAACCCAGTGTATGGCATATTGTACAAATTGTAAATAGAATAACAAAATGTTCCAATACCCAAATATTTTTCAAAAGTGTGTGAGGAATAGTTATGTAGTTCCAGAGTTCTCGACGTTCATACGTAATACCAGTAATCAAGATCAATTCCACTAGTAGCGGATATAACAATAACATTCAAGTATTCCAATAGATCGGGACCATCTCTGATAAAATTGATTGCTTAAGCATAGGGCGGCTACTAACAATTCTATTGTTTGCGTACTTTTCTAAGAAATAACTTTTGCAGTTATGGACAAACTTTCGTTGGACTGTAAATAAATAATATTTAGAGTAGCAGGAGTTTTTTTTTGGGAATTTCAGCGCCTTGGCTGATTAATAATATTGCTGTTTATTTTTAGAGCTGTTACGAATCGAATTAACAACAGGACTATAAGAAATTAATTGTTTTAGAATTCTCTCTTTAAAAACCATTTCTAAACAATTGACTTTTGTTAAATAATTGGTTTTCACAATACTAAAAACCACCGACCATATATTGGTTTTGCTATAGACACTGTCGGGTCTTGTAGCCGAATTATCTATGCAGAGAATCTTCTCTCTCTCTCTCTCTTGCGCTCACGCGCCTTCACTTAAGTCGCCTACCAATCGTTTTCGTAACCCATGTATTCGTGCTTCGATAGCTAAATCTCAATCAAACAATCCAATTCGTACGAAATCACTAAATTTAAATCGCCTATTTATTTAGTAAAAAATAGCTAATAATAAAGCTTATTAGCCCACCAGGTATATTTCCGAATACAGCGGAATACTCATGTTAATTATACACAATACAATTGCTTTAGTTTTTAATTTTAGAATACAAAGTCCGACAAAATGTTTGTAGTCGGCAAATTTGCGAAAATCAAAAACAAAAACCATATAACATAATTGGTTTTGATTATAAAAAAAATTCATAAGGTTATTGTTTCATAGAAATTAAACTAAGTGGTTCAGTGGAATTATGATATATTTTTAAGACTGCGTCACTTACAGCACTGTAACCTTACAATAGTGTTACTACTACTAATCAGTGTACTACCTAATACTTATCGAAAAAGGCGTCGTCGTTTAATTGTTGGGAAATAATAATAAATGTTAAAACCTGATAAAATGGGCACGTTAACCGATTTCGGACAAATAGCTTTGAAATGGGATCCCAAAAATTTGGAAATTCGCACAATGTCGGTTGAAAAAACACTTGAACCTCTTGTATTACAAGTTACTACTCTTGTAAATACTAAGGGCCCAAGCAAAAAGAAAAAAGGTAAAAATTTCTTTTGTTTTTAGCACAATTTAGAATTCCTATATATTAGTTAAATTAAAGATGAAAGTAAGTTTACCCGAATCGTGCATACACATGACTATGTGTGCATGTATCCCCATTTTTTTTTTTGATTAATTTTAAGTATAGTGGTATACATTATTACATTATTTGCATGTGTTCGTATTGGGACAACCTGAAGTTTGTAAAATAGAAAGCATTTCAATTAAGACTTTTGAATAGTAACAAGCTTAAAACAAAAATATGTAAGGTGAAAGTACGGTTTTATCGAAAACGCAGAATTGCGAAAATATGTAAAAATATGAGTATTAATTATATATATGTATAAATACATATATATATATGTATATGTGATACCCTCGAAGTGGGTATATTGATTTGAGTCAGAAGTTTTCAAAGCATATATTTACACTAGAAATATATACAAATATTCTCAGTCAGTATCAACAGCCGAGTCGATATATCAATGTCCGATCTTCCGTTTATAAGCTATCTACATATATCTTCTCCATATGTCTTTGTTTTGCAGGTAGTATAGAAGTTGCTCGTAGATTAAAAGTACATACTAAATTCCTTTAGACGTATGTAACTGGTAGAAAGTTTCTGACCCTGTAAAGTATATATGTATATTCTTCAGGGTTACTAGCCGAATCTATCGGGCCATGTCCGTATGGACGATGTGATCTCGCGTTCTACAAAAGCTTGACATTTGAGAATAAGCATGTAGTCTACGCTGCGCACGTTTGTTTAAGAACGTTTTCCGCGCTCAAAAACCGCTGTTTTTGTTTTAAGTCTTGTTAATTTGTTAATATGCCAAAATCATTTCAATTTTAGAATCATCAATTTTAGTGTTCTAAAAGGTTATACGGGTATAAAGGTTTTTAGAAATATATTAATCCTGAACAGGCAATCATTACAAAACGGGTCCAAGGACCAAGGAAACAATTATCAGCTAAATTAGGCAGGCCCAAACTAACCTACAATCAAATACTTGGATCACTATTAATCAAACGTTTAGATCAACTCGAATCGGATGTTTGTCAATATGATTTTAGCAGTGTTACCGGTGTTCTACCGAAATTCCTATCAATACTAACCGCAAAAAAAACAAGAGAGAATGCTATAGTCGTGTTCCCCGACTATCAGCTAGTGGATGTGAAAATGAGAAAAAAAGAATAAAATGAAAAAAAAATACAAATTTGCCAAAATCTTGGGCGTGACAATTTCGGGCGGTTGTGGGTGTAGCAAAAAGTTTTTGCGCAAATTGATAAACATTTACAAGACTAAAAATATCAAAACATTTTTCAAATTGTGGGTGTGGCAGTTTTGGACGTGACAACGAACTTGAGCTGCGTCTATTTCTCTGGAAGCTGCATGCTCCATCTCAACATTCTGACGGGTATCTGATAGTCGAGGAACTGTACCTATAGCGTTCTCTATTGTTTTATTTAAAGTTATGGAACTGCGGCTATTAAAACAAGTTGCAACGTCAGCGGGGTGGTTACTTGCTAATTGGCACAGCAGTATCGTTTTACAACGTGATATATTGTATAATAATTATTGTAATACTAATATTAATCTTCTCACGTTTAATGGTTTCAATTTTGTATTATGTATTTCTTTAGGGAAATCAAAGCGGGCCAGCGCATTAGTTGCAGCTGTTGAAAAGGCCACAGAAAATTTTATTCAAAAAGGTGAACAGATTGCTTACGAGAACCCAGACATCACACAAGAAATGTTAACAGCTGTGGATGAAGTAAAAAAAACTGGAGATGCTATGAGCATTGCAGCAAGAGAATTTTCTGAAGATCCTTGCAGTTCGTTGAAGAGAGGAAATATGGTGCGCGCAGCTAGGAATTTGTTGTCAGCTGTAACCCGCTTGCTAATTTTAGCAGATATGGTAGACGTGCATTTGCTTTTAAAATCACTCCATATTGTCGAGGATGATTTAAACAAACTAAAAAACGCATCGAGCCAGGACGAGCTTATGGATAATATGAGGGTATGTCAAAATAAAATAAATAATGGTATTTGTTGTATAGAAATGAATTTATATGTGATTTGTACATAAATATACATATGCACTTTTGTGTTAATCCCGTTTTGGGTTTTATTTGTAACTAACACAAATAATGTTATATGCTCAACAATTTTTTTGTACACATTTATTCACATTTTATTGTAATGCTTCAAATAATTTTTTATACTAAACTAATAAAAAACGAGATAGAATGCTATAGTCGAGTTCCCCGACTATCAGATACCCTTTACTCAGCTAGTGGAAGTGCAAATGAGATTTAAAAATGTTCTGGAATATCGGTAGAATTTGGGGAAAAAATAATAAATTGAAAAAAAAAAAACTTTAAAATATATTAAAAGTGTGGACGTGAGAGTTTTGTACGTTTTGTGGGCGTGACAAAAAGTTTTTTTTTTTAAATAATTAGTCTTAAGAAGTGGGTAACCGATTTAAACTATTTTTAAAGGTACAAAAAGGTTTTTTAATTAAAAAAAATTGTTTTTTGAGGTGGAAAAATAAAAATACAGTAGAATCCGGTTATAGCGACTTTCAAGGGGTCGACGATTTTACGTCGTTATACCCGGAAGACACACTAACAGTAAGGTGGGGAAAAACAAATTTTTTTTGTTTATTTTATGGTTGCCATGTTCGTAATATCTTTTAACATAAAACAAATAAATTTTTTAATCAAACAAAAAATTTAATAAATTTATTTTAATAACATGGGTTTTTCATAGGCTCACCGGCTTCCAAGCGCTGAATAATTTGCGTTTTTTCTTCGACGGAGAAGCACTTTCGTTTTAAATACATTTTGTGGGCCGACAAGGCACAAGTGTTGAGCTTAAACTGAATGAGCTCATCATTCGCATTTAGTTCATTAACTTACATTTGGCGAATTTATGCATTAAGTTTTATTGGAAAAAAAGCAGAAAAAAAATATAAATATAACGGGACATCTCATGGAATATAGGCATGAGGTCTGCACACGCACGCTGTGCGTAATTAATAATTTAATAATAATTTTTGTTTTTAATTATTTTAAATAATTACTATAAGTTATTGTAAATATTTTTCTGTATTTTTTTTTTGCACGTCGCAATATCCGGTTGAATTATGAAAAATCTCGTCGGTATAAGCGGTTTGTCGCTAAAAGCGGAGACGTACTAACCGGAGGTCCTTTCACAAAATTTTGTATGGGGACCAACCAAGCCATCGAGTTAACGTCGCAATATCCATACTGACGCTATAAGCGGAGTCGTTATAACCGGATTCTACTGTATTTAATTTTAAGGGTAGGGAAACGACAAAAACTATTTTTAATGGGTGGGCTAACGTTTTTTATTGAAAATAATTAGTTTTAAGAAGTGGGTAAGCGATAAAAACTATTTTTAAAAAGGTACAAAAACGTTTTTAATTGAAAAAAAAATAGTTTTTAGAGGCGAAAAAACGAAAATATTTAATTTTAAGGGTAGGGAAACGACAAAAACTATTTTTAATGGGTTTGCAAAAGTTTTTATTGAAAATAATTAGTTTTAGGAGGTGGGCGACCGATATAGGTTCATGAGGTTGAAAAACGAAAATATTTAACGGGTAAGGAAAATATTGAATCTGACATTCTAGCTTTTGTAGTTCCTGAGATCGAGGCGGTCATACGGACATGGCCAGATCGACTCGGCTATTGATCCTGATCAAGAATATACATATATACACTATACACTAGTCGGCATAAGTATTTTGACAAAATTGTCAGCTTCTTTTGAAACTGGCTTGCGCTTGATACCATTAACTATCGGTGCGAAGATGATATGAAAAGCAAAGAATGAATATTTAGCACACAAAATGCCAATTTTTATACGGCTTACCCATTCTCTTTTCTAACAATCTCACAAGTATTTTGACAACCTTATTTAGTATATGGTATCCTGCTTTTGAGCACGTGTAAATAAACAATTGTTTAAATTTCACTTTTTTCGATATTAAACGTAACTTAACGTAACCTTAACTAAGAGCCTATAAACTAGTGGACAGGAAGTGCCGTGAATTCAGTTAATAAATGTGTTCATGTTTGTGTTGGTGCACGAAAAGTGGTTTCATGTGGTGCGCAGATAAACAATCTACATCCCGAAAGTAGAAAATCACAGATAAGACTAAATATGTTTGTTGTTTAGGGACTTTAATATATTTTTGAAAGAAGTACGTTTATATTTTTTTTAAGTGTTTTTTGGCTTATAAAATGTTTATTTGTTAGTAAAATTTAATAGAATTTAAACATTTTCAATCTGTTTAAAATATGCGCATTTGCAGATAATAACCTCAAGCTCTTCATTTAGTCCCTATTTTTTTTAATATTAATGTAAAGAATACAAAATTTAATAAGTAAACTCTAGACCAAGTCATCGGTAATTGTAATTAGAAACTGGTGCCCATAGTGTTTAAAAATAATTCCCAACTTATATATTTCATTATATTATATTTATATTTATATATATATTTTTATATATATATTTATATTATATTATATTTATTATACGTTCCCTCTAAGAGCCTATAAACTAGTGGACAGGAAGTTCCGTGAATTCCGTGAATTATAAAACGTAAGGCTGAGTTAAGTTTGTTTATTAGATCACCAATGGTAGCACAGTTTACCGTTGGATTTAAAGTAAAAAACATTCGAAAGAGTTTAATGTGTCGCGTCAAACTCTATATTATCAAATTAAAAAGTTTAAAACACATAATGACTTAAAAAACTTCGCTGAAGATAAAATCCTTATACGGGAATTTAAAAAAAATCCTCTTGCGAAACCCCAAGCAAAATATATTGCTAAGGATGTGCCGTATATTTAAAAAATATACAAGCTTAAAAGGTTGAAATTTGCAAGAGAAGATCTGGACAAGCCAAAGTCGTTCTGGAGAAGTGTTTTATGAACAGATGAAAGCTCTTTCCAGTATATCTCGCCGAAACAAAAAATTTTTGTAAGATTGGCAACTCAGCAAAGGCAAAAAAACACACCCCGTTTGTCAGAAAGAGGGCCATGGTGGAGGCTCTGTCATTATGTGGGGATGTGTTGCCTATAATGGGTTGGGTGACTTTGTCCCTATCTCTCGATGAACCAAGGACAATATTTGACAACCTTAAACGAAAATGCATTGAAATGCATGCCTTCTGGAGATAGGCTGATCGGGGAATCATTTATCCTGCAGCAAGATAATGCTCCATGCCACAAAGCCCGAATGATAACCAATTTTCTAAAGGATGTTTGTGTCACCGTCTTGAACTGCCCACCTTAAAGTCCAGATTTAAATATTATTGAGAACATCTGGTCCCTTTTAAAACGCAAAATAACATTTTCGTTACACAAAACTCGTGAAGGAGACGATTTCTGAGATCACTTTATTCACAAGCACAAATATTCGTTTGTTCATTTTTAAGTTTATGTTTCTTACACATAAAAAATAATCGTTACTATCATATCAAGCCAATTAATAGTTTTACTGACAAATTTATTTATTTATTTGGTAAAAATACTTATGCCGACTAGTGTACTTAAGCAAGAAGCGGTAATGACTAGGAGCGGTAATGATACTAGAATAATAAGATGCGTAACGGCCATACATTGGTTTTGCACTATGCAGCCACTTTTTTGGTGGCGGCAATAATTGCTCTATACCCGCTCGCGTAAAATTGAGAGCAAAAAAGATAATTAATTTGCTTGTTTAAGTGAACCCAGTAAGCAAGAAGTGTGTGTAGTTGTGCTAGAAGACGATTTTCGGTCGGAAATCAATTTTGATCTAAGAGACGAATTTGATTATTGTTTTGGTCAATTTCGTTGTAATATGATCATAAAAAATATTATTTAAAAATTGATGCCGTGACTATTTTTTTTTTAAGAAGTTATTTTAATATTCATTAGTTAAAAGCTTACCTAAGAATAACTAACTTCAAATATATTTTGCACGTCACAAGCTGAATAGTCTAACGAAATATTTTCTAGTATAAAGTAATTTATTTAAATAATTAGGTATTATTATGTTCATTTATTCACATATTACTATTTCTATGATGTATTTAAATAATTATCATGTTAAGACAATGCAAAATTAGAGTTTTTACTTGGTGGCAATCGAGTACAAATAATATAAATTGAAAGTTCATAAACTTCTGAAGTGAAGGGCATAAATTGTCAAATTTACAATATATGAGCATACATGTGCACACATAGAGTGATCGGCTGTCGCTGTATACGTCCATGAGAGCTGCTGGCTCTAGAGCGCTCTCTCTCTGGCTCTTGAACAAAAATTCGAGAGAGCCTGGAGCGAGCTCTAGAGCCAGCACGAAAAAATCGTGTGCAAAATAATCGTATGGCGTTACGCATCTTATTATTCTAGTGACTTTGGCTATACTGTATTGGACTGATGCAATGACTGATGTCATTATGAAAGAATTACATTAATGCGACCCCAAAAGTTTGTGTGTGATTGCACAAATTTGCAATCTGGTCACAAATATGGTCCCTGAAATACGGATTTCGATAACTAGGACCTCAACACTATAAAAGCCATTAATACATTATCTTCAATTTTCTTATCTTATTAAAATATGTATTTGTCTACAAGTTTAGCTGTCGCTTGATCGTAAAACTATCAGTCAATATTCCCTTTCTTTACACGTACAAGACTGATAGTTAACTTTATTAATAAAAAGTATTTATTATTAAATATTTAGTTATGAATAGCACAATTACATTGCCTGGAGTTAAATGGTTTTTATGCCTAATACACATTACTATAACATTACTTGGCACAAGAATATAAGTATGTATATATAATAGATATAAAGAAAATCTGGGAACAGTGGACGTAAAAAACTTATCCCAATCTAATACTGGTCGATTGGCTCTCGGCGCTTTGGTTCTTGGGCGTTACTAGTCATCAAATTGGAATTATACATACAGTGGTGGAAAAAATAATAGAAACACGTTGGTTGAATCATTGATTTTAAATTTTGTGCTCAGAACGAAAGTAATATTTTTTAATCTTTATTTTTTTAAATTCATATATAAGTATATTTTACATTAAGAAACATTAAGGAACAAAAATATTTTTTTCATCTTTATATTAACTAAAAATAATTAACTTCATTTTTGGCGCTTGGAAAAAATAATAGAAACAAAACTCTTAAAACTAAGAAAAACGTAATTTTTATGAATTATCTTATAAAAATAGTTGTAATATTAATATTTAGTGGTATTTCCATTATTTTTTATAACTGCTGAGCATCAACGGGGCATTGAATTCACTAAATTGGCGAAAATTTCGGGGTTAATGGCATACCACTCTGACTTAACTTTTTTCCACAGCTCTTCCTTATTTTTTGATTTAAAACCTCAAATTCCTCTTTTTAATATTCCCCATAAATGTTCTATGGGGCTTAAGTCCGGGGATTGAGCAGGCCACCCCATAACATTAATTTTTTGGTCCTGAAACCATTTCTAAGCAAGGGTTGACGAATGTTTCGGATCATTATCCTGCATGAACTCCCATTTTAAGGGCATTTCCTCCTCAGCTTATGGTTTCATAACATTCTCCAATATGTTAAAGTAGTCGGGAGCACACATCCTATCTTTTATCCGGAATATCGGACCAACTCCAGACGTGGAAAAGCATCCGTATATCATGATGTTAGCTCCACCATGTTTTATTGTTTTTTTTTTTGTGCTTTGGATCAAATGTGGTATTTTTTGGACGTCTGGACGTATTTTGCCATCAGATACGAACAAATTAATTTTAGTTTCATCAGACCATAGAACATTATTCCAGTTTTTACGGTCTAGGTGTCGCTTTGGAAAAGACAGTCTTTTAGCGATATTTTTTTTACTAAGCAGTGGAACTTTCCTAGCCGAGTGTGCCTTCAAATTCTTTCCAATTAGTCTATTTCTTATTGTTCGACTTGACACTGATATCTGGAAAGTATTTTTCAGGTCCGTCGACGACATAAAAGGATTTTTTTTTGATGTTCGAATCAAAAGGTCGTCGAACTTTTGGGATGTGGCTCGCTTCCTGCCCTGTTTCTCCTTCGTATCTTTATAATGAATCGCGGAAAACTTTTTTTTTGCAGAGCAGTGCATTATTTCAGCAATTTCCCTTATTGTTTTTCCTTCGTTTTTTAGTTTTTGTATAATATCTCGTTCTACAGGTGAACAGTGCACTCCGCGCCGCATTCTGAATATAAAGGCATAAAGGAAATTAAACATTTTTTTTTTACAAAATCACTTATTATGAGCTAAACATACCTGAAAGTATTTAATATATTGATTTACTTACAAAATTAACAGGGAAAAACTCAAACAAATCGCAGAAACGGAGCTTGTTTCTGTTATTTTTTCCAGCTCAAACACGTGACCACTTCAAATATCGCTATGTACCGCAAATAACAAGATCGAAATCAACTCAAAAAGAAGAGCACAATAAAGTACCCTTATGAGTGGCTTATGTGCTAACGGTTTATCCACACACACTTCGTACATAATTAGTAATTTTGTTTTACATGCAGGAGCGATTCTTGTTTCTATTATTTTTTCCACCACTGTATATACAGCTTTGTTCGTTGAAATATCAGTGCTTATGACCCGCGAGTTTAAGATAAAAAAATTCTATGATTTACACTTTTTATGAAAACAATTTCATTAGGTATTTCGTTTCAAACAATTCAACAAATGTTTCACTTTTATTTCTTCAATAGTTTCGAAAATATGGATAAAAACAACATGAAGCAGGTAGAAAAAAGTATATTCTGATCAGGATGATTAGCCGAATCAAACTGGCCATGTCCGTTCATATGAACGCAATGCAAATTAAAACTAATAGTGCATAGAATTGCGCGATATCTTTAAAAAGATTACTCAATTCTTTTACTTCAAGCGTTCAAGAGGTATGGCAGTATAAAATGTATAATAATTATACCCGTTTCTCGTATAGTAAAAGGGTATACTAGATTCGTTGAAAAGTATTTAACAGGCAGAAGGAATCAATGACCGAGTCGAACTGGCCATGTTCGTCTGTCCGTCCGTCTGTCTGTATGAACGCCTCGCCTAGAATGTTGAGATTAAGCATAGACATAGCCACAGCGCAAGTTTGTTTCCAAATGTTGCCACGCCCACTCCAACGCACACAAACCGCCAAAACTGTCACGGCCACACTTTTGAAAAATTTGATATTTTTTCACTTTTTTATATATCTTGTAAACTTCTATAGATTTGCCAAAAAACTTTTGCCACGCCTACTCCTACGCCCATAAACCGCCCAAAACTGTCACGCCAACACTTCTGGGAAAAAGTGATATTTTTTCACTTTTGTATATATCTTGTAAATTTCTATAGATTTGCCACAAAACGCACAAAACTCTTACGTCCACACTTTTAAAATATTTAAAAAATTTTTTTTTTTAATTTTGTTATTTGTTACCCAAATTCTACCGATATTCCAGAAAATTTTGAAATTTCTCGTTTCTATCTAGTTAACGGGTATCTGATAGTCGGGGAACTCGACTATAGCATTCTATCTTGTTTTCGAGAGAATGTTATAATTGCAGTATAAGATGATTATACATATACCTATAAATATTTTTCCTATGATTAATCATAAAAGTTTCGTACATCAATTTGTTTTTCATAATTCAGCTCGTTTCATTATTGTAAAACAACGTTTGGACTCGCTTATATACATAAATTTATCCTTCATATAAGGGTCTTTGTTTTGAAATGGTGAAAGTTCTTTTCAGGAATATGATTTGCATCATGGACAGGCTTCAATATATACCACAGAATGCGATCAAACCGTATTTTTTCAATTTTATAATTAATTCTTTAACAGTTTACTAAGAAGTTCTATTTTTTTGTTTTAGCAATTTGGACGCAATGCAGGAGAACTTATAAAACAGGCAGCCAAACGTCAACAAGAACTTAAAGATCCCCAATTAAGGGACGATTTAGCAGCTGCTCGGGCGATGCTTAAAAAACATTCAACAATGCTGTTAACTGCATCAAAAGTATACGTTCGCCATCCGGAACTAGATCTAGCAAAAGTAAATCGCGATTTTATTTTAAAACAAGTTTGTGATGCTGTAAATACCATCAGCGATGTTGCCCAAGGAAAGTCATCTCAACCGACAGATATATACAGCGGAGCGGGAGAGTTGGCTGCAGCATTAGATGACTTTGACGTAAGATAAACTAATCTTTTACATTTTAAAATTTTGTTTTTAATGTGATTGTTTTTTTTTTTTTAAATGGCCATTTAAACTAATTAGTACTATCTTTTTAGGATGCTTTATTGTTATATATTTATATTGTGATATAGAAGCATTAACATTAGCATTAGCATTAAAAATACTATTACACACTTCGGTGTTTTTTTAACTAATTACATTTTTTTGCGCTCATCAAAAATTTAGATATAAGAAATAAGAGATTTAAGAAATAAGAGTTGACCCAAAATGGTTCGTGTGTTTTGGGTAAAATGTTTAAAAAGCGTTTAAAATAATTGGTTCGATACATAAAGGACATAAAGATCAGGGACATTTATCCCTGGAACCCATACCGATGGTGTTATTAGAGAAGGATTCCACCCTTTAAATTATATATATACATATATTTAGGATTATTGGCTATGTCGCAATGTTTCTCTGCCAGGTAATCCATTTCGACGCAAACGAGTCTCACTTTTAAAAAGGAAGGTAGTAAGATTAAGCCTTTTTAGATATAAACTGTTGTATATTTAACCATTTATTTTTAGACTATTCCGATTCCAGTTATATAAAATAACATTTATATACGGCTTTTGATCTCATCTTATATACTACCTGCAATTTAAAGTAGAATTTTGGGGAAGTTTTATGAAGTTTTTAAAACTGGAAGACGTTTGCGTTATTGTTTGAAATTAAATTAAACAGAAAATAATGGGATATAATAACAATATGTCATACTGATATATACTCTCTGAGAAACCATTTTTATAAAGGGTAAGACATTTATTTTATCATTAGATTAGTTTCTAAAAATAAACTATAAATTGCTATATCTTCGAGTGTAACGTGTGTATCTTATATTAGGAATCGCTTAAATTCGGTATTTTGATCTATTCCTATATATTTTTTTATTGTGTTGCTTATGCTATTTCTTATCCGATACTTATCGGTCTTTGACACTGCAGGAGGGAATTGTAATGGATCCGATGACCTACAGCGAGAAGCGTTCACGCCAATTACTCGAAGAACGGTTAGAAAGTATTATTAGTGCAGCTGCATTGATGGCGGATGCAGACTGTACTCGAGACGAGCGACGAGAGAGAATTGTGGCCGAATGCAATGCTGTGCGGCAGGCTTTACAGGATTTGCTATCCGAATATATGTCTAACGTAAGTAACTTTCTTGAAATTATTTGTTTTTTAATCATATTTTATGTTTAGATGAGTCAAAAAGATAACAGCCCAGGACTCTCTCGAGCGATTGATCAAATGTGTCGCAAAACTCGTGACCTAAGAAGGCAATTGCGAAAAGCTGTTGTGGATCATGTTTCGGACTCTTTTCTGGAGACTACAACTCCTTTGCTAGATTTAATAGAAGCAGCAAAGTCGGGAAATGAAAAAAAAGTTCGCGAAAAGTCCGAAATATTCACTAAGCACGCTGAAAAACTCGTTGAAGTAGCAAATTTAGTATGTAGCATGTCAAACAATGAAGATGGTGTTAAAATGGTTCGATATGCTGCTGCCCAAATTGAAAGTCTTTGCCCGCAAGTAATAAATGCAGCATCGATACTAACTGTTAGACCGAATTCTAAAGTAGCCCAAGAAAATATGTCTACTTATCGGCAAGCCTGGGAGGTGCAAGTTCGTATTTTAACCGAAGCAGTGGATGATATTACAACAATTGACGACTTTTTAGCAGTATCAGAGAATCACATTCTTGAAGATGTAAACAAATGTGTAATGGCTTTACAAGTTGGTGATGCCAGGGATTTGCGTGCAACTGCTGGTGCTATCCAAGGTCGATCATCACGAGTTTGTAACGTTGTTGAAGCTGAAATGGATAATTATGAACCATGTATTTACACCAAACGAGTGCTAGAAGCAGTCAAAGTTCTTCGAGATCAAGGTAAGTGTTAATTTTCAATGTACAATGTAATATACACCTTACCATCCAAAGTTTGTTCCTATAACATTCTTATGTTCTCGTTGTGTAATAGGGTAAAGTACAAAATATATTAATCGTACTTAAAATCGTACATTATATAAATATATTTCCAAAAATACAAGATAACCATCTCCCTATAAAGGAAAAGTTCTACGATTTCTTAGATTAAAATTAAGTATCACCTAGTTATTATGCTTAGCATAGTCCTAAAATCTTAAGTTTTGCAAAAATCAACTCGGCTTGTAGATATCCCATTATTTTCTCGAGCACAGCCACTAAATAAATGTTTTGTTTTAGTTATGATGAAATTCGACCAACGTGTAGGAGCAGCCGTTGGAGCCCTATTAAATAACTCCAATAAGGATGTGGACGAAAATGATTTCATTGATGCTTCTCGTTTGGTGTACGACGGAGTTCGAGAAATTCGAAGAGCCGTTTTAATGAACCGAGTAAGTAGTATAAGATGTCGATTTCCTACCGTTAGTCCAAAGACTCGAGAAACATATCTCCTTAAGTATAATATGTTTTCCATAGAAAAGTGTAAGCATTACTGCATAAAATAAGCTTTAATTTTTTTTTATGGATAGACTTTATTCATATTTGTTCAGAAAATTGACAAAATTAACATTGATAATTGACAAATTAACAGAAAAAAGAAACATACCAGAGAGCTCTTATTTCGCTCTACATTTTTTGCTACAGGTACACATAGCTATTGCTAAAGTTTATTAAGCGAAGAAACTTCGATCACTTGCTCTGCACTTACTTTTTTGTTTTTTTTTTGCTCTAGCTCTCGTCTGGAGCGAAAACTCAGAAATATTTTCCTAGCTATTTCTGCTACGGAGCAGTAAATGTAAACCCTGGATAAAAAAATGGTTTGATCATGCAATGTACTTATTTTTCTAGGCTCTAGAGACAAAATGTCTTTGCCATATAGGTAGTAATTCCCCAATAAAAAAATTCAAATTAAGAGATAATAAAATTATAATACTTAAACATTGTTTGAAAGTTTGGGCGTGTAAGCTTAAGTCGGTTTATGGGCGTTACAGTAGATGTGGGGATCTTACAACAAAGTAGTGAAAATTCGGCAAAACAAGAATTGACATGCTTAATATTAACTTTGTTTCTCCTATATTTCCCGAGATCATATCAAAAAATATTTATACCCGTTACTTGTAGAGTGAAAGGGTATACTAGATTCGTTGAAAAGTATGTAATAGGCAGAAGGAAACGTTTCCGACCATATAAAGTACGATATATATATTCTTAATCAGGATCAATAGACGAGTCGAAATGGCCATGTCCGTCTGTCAGTATGAAAGCCTTGATCTAAGGAACTACAAAAGCTAGAATGTCAGATTAAGCTTGAAACTTCCAGAAACTTAGACGCAGCGCAAGTTTGTTTCCAAAGGTTGCCACGCCCACTGTAACACCCACAAACCGCCCAAAACTGTCACGGTCACACTATTGAAAAATGTGATATTTTTTAATTTTTTTTTTATTGTGTAAATTTCTATAAGTTTGTCAAAAAACGCTGCCACGCCTACTCCTACGCCCTTAAACCGCCTAAAACTGTCACGCCAACTGTCACTTCTGCTAAAATGTGATATTTTTTCACTTTTTTTAAAAACTTTTAGGCACGCCCACTCTAACGTCAACAAACCGACCAAAACTCTTACGCCTATACTTTGAAATTTCTAATTTCAATAAACTTCCTAATTTCTACCGATATTTCAGAAAAATTGGAAATTTCTGATTTGCACTTCCACTAGCTGAGTAACGGGTATCTGATAGTCGGGGAACTCGCCTATAGCATTCTATCTTTTTTTTGTAAAGCTTGTGTCAATATTCTTTGTCCTTAAGTTTTCGAGAGCTCGTTTATATGGGCAAACCATAACGGATCATTATCCTGATAAAGAATACGAAACTCCGAAACGCAACTTTTTGTCACTGGACAAGTAACACTCGTTACGTTGATTTCAAAACCAATTATATATACAAATTATTAAGTTATGTTTTTTTCTACCGGCCATTTACAGGGAAGAGATATATTTTATTATTCACTGGGTATTTCATTGAGAAGCGGGCTTCCCAGAAAAAGTCTGGTGACTTTTGCAAGGAGGACCGCTCGTTTGCGATATAAAATCAGAACTGAAAATTATACAAAATATTTGTTGATTTAAAGCTAATACTTAATTAATTCCAAATAATGAAATAATTACTAATATAACTTAGAATATGAATCTCACAGCGGCCACCGTAGAATGCAGGATGAGCCACGGTTAGCAAGGCTGATTTACTGTAGTTAACTTACACACTCGCATATATGAAAGCGACCGCTAACGAAGGCGACTAAGAAAGAGATTTCGAAATAAAACGACAGAATACCAGAAAAGGAAGAAAGGCACCAACGAATCTTAAAAAATAGGAACTCAAAACAAGAGAGAAGGCAACAACTTTTTTTAGCATATCGATAGAAATTGGAAAGACGAATAATAAAATGATATTGAAATTTACTTTCTCTTTTAATTGAAAGTAGGTTTATTTTCTACATTTAACGCTTCTCGTGACGCATCTGTTCACGTTTTTCGTTCAACTTCTGTATCAAACAATGCTTCACTTGTTCTTTAAGCTCTGAACTGTCAATAACACGCATGTCACCTGTTAATAGTTTGAACGGAGTTACTTTAGTGCTTCTGGGCTCAATATTGTTTATGAATTATTGAACTTTATCCACATGATACTACCAATTTGCAGGGTTCTCTAGACTAATCTTCTTCAACGTCGGCACTACGATTATGAGTAATCTTTCCACCTGACCCTTACCACAAGGAACACCTGTAGTGATCAAGAAATGCTGAATGGGTTTCCAAAAATTATCGCCTGTTTCTCTAAGCAGTTATGTCCAGTACTGCGCGTCGGATACAACCAAACGTATCCACTATGATAAGTGATGAGTGGTTTGTCTCCCTATCATTTGGATTGAGATATACCTCCTGCCTGCCTGCTTTTGCGTTTACTAAAAAGCACGCAACACAACTTTTATTTCGTTTTCCATTTGAGATGGAACGATGAATAGATCTCTGTCAGGGTCCTTGAACAATATTTGCCGGTTCTACGCCCAAAAACTGTCAAAAACTGTCACGATCACAATTTTGAAAAATGTGATATTTCGTGTATTTCGTTTTTGAATATATCCTGAAAATTTCTATCAACTTGCCAAACTTTTTGAAATTTTTTTTTCATTTTATTATTTTTATTGACATCTTTTACCAATATTTCAGAAAATTTTAAAATTTTACGTTTGTACTTCTACTAGCTGGTTTAGAGGGCAATAGTTCAGACAAAGGGTTAGCTATGAACGTATTTCCATCAACGAACGAAAGTATCGCTTTTATCCAAGAAATCGTTGTATTGCCTTTCGATCAGACGATACGCGAAAATTTGCCAAATCTTGCAGGGTTTTCATTGTGTTATTGAACTGTTTTCGATGCTGTAACCAAGAAAATTTACCTTGCTCTGTAAGATCTGACACTTGACCCAGTTAATTCGCAACCCGTTCTGTTCAGCATTTTTTCAGCTTTTCGAAACCTTCTATTACGTCTTTACTTGGAATTATAATCTCCTTTATATAGACAACTGCGTCATCGGATTTAATGAGTTTTCTTAGAACTGACATTGTAAATCGTGTAAATACCGCTGGGGAGTTTGATATGACAAGGGCATGTAAAAAAACTAGTTTTATCCTTTCTGTATAACAAATATGGCTGGTTACGTCCAATGGTGTTTAAAGTTTCCCTTCTTGTAACTTCTCAAGCACAATTTTCTTGTTTAACTGGCGATAGTCGCTGCCCAAACGTTTCTGTCCATTCTTTTTCGATACGAGTGCGATTGGGGAAGCGTACTCTGAATTACTGTGCTTGATAATCTTTCGGTCAAGCCACTCCTGAACCTTCTCATCTACTATTCTCTGTTCAGTGTAAGCACTGGGGTTTCGTCAGTAAGCAAGAATTTCATCTGGACCGTGACTTTTGTTTTATTTTTTTTAAGAAGTTATTTTAATATTCGTTAGGTAAAATCGCCGTTCGTATTAGCTACCGTTTACATATGAACTTTACATATCAACTTTTATTGAATGCGGATATTATATTAAAATTTGGAAAAATAGTAGCAAACGATGAGCCCTATGTATGCGGGTATTATATTAAAATTTGGAAAAATAGTAGCAAACGATGAGCCCTATGTATTTGTCAGCTTTAAGCAAACGGATTAAGGGGAACTAAAAGAAGAAACAATACATTTGGTGCGGCTTTTTACCCACAAAAAAATGCGCGGTTTTTAAAAATATCAAATTAGAATATAACAAAAACAATTCAACAAAATAATATTTGCATTTCAAATACTGAAAATTGGTCATTTACATAAGTATACATACATATTTGTTTTATATGTATACTAGTAATTGTACTAATAATATTTATATATATATATATTTATATTAAATTATATATTAAAAATTATTATATATTAAAAAATTCATATGCAACCTGTTTATTGCAAAATTGAATTCTTGAGGCAGGACCAGCGCACCTAAGAATCACTAAATTAAAATATATTTTCCACGTCACAAGCTGAATACTCTAACGACAAATACTTCCTAGCATAAAGTAATTTATAAAATAATTAGGTTTTATGTACATTTATTCACATATTACTATTTCTATGATGTATTTAAATAATTATCATGTTAAGACTATGCAAAATTAGAGCTTTTTACTTGGTGGTAATCGAGTACAAATAATATAGATTGAAAGTCCATAAACTTCTGAAGTGAAGGTCATATTTTGTCAAATTTACAATACATGAGCATCCGTGTGCAGACTTACAGTGATCGACTGTTCCTGTATGCGTACAAGAGAGCTGCTGGCTCTAGAGCGCTCTCTCTCTGGCTCTTGAACAAAAATTCGAGAGAGCCTGGAGCCAGCTCTAGAGTCAGCACGAAAAAATCGTGTGCAAAAAAATCGTAAGACATTACTTATCTTATTATTCTAGTGCCTTTGGTCTAATCTTGGTATGAACTCTGTACTATCTTTCGTGATTTTCATATCTACCAGTAATATAAGAGTTCTGCCTGAAATCGCATCAAATTTCATGTCTTCTACTTTGAGTTCTATGCCATCTATTTTACCTGAAATTTTAATGCTTCCGAAAGATACGATTTGACTTTCTCCGATTCCAATCAAACATTTTTCGCTTACCATGAGGTATATTCTATATTAAATATGAGACTCGGCCCACAGAACAGTTTAACTCCACAAAGAAATAATGATAAACTCAACACTACGTAAGATTCAACTTCTGTTAATACAATAGCACAATTAAGTAATGTTAATCCGTTTAAACAATTATCTTGTTACGTTTTATTTGCGCTCGAATGTTAAAACTGTTTCTCGTCAATTCAAAAATAGAAATTAGATCTCGCTGTCTCACCAACACTGCTCCCAAAAGGACGAACTCGCTCTTCTCCTGTTCAGCTAAACCGCGTCACCAATACCACTCTAGATTGACAAACTCCTTCTTCAACTTCTCTATCCATACACGTCGAATCACCAATACTGCTCCAGATTGGCTTGCTCGTCGATCAGTAAAAGCTCTCCAGTTTCCCCCGTACACTAGCGCCACCTCTTCAGATCCTCCTGTAGACTAATAACACTTTTGCAGACCTTTTTGTAGATCACCACCGCCTGGTTGCCGATTCACTTCCCGGACTTACCACTTTAAGCCCGATTCCTCTCATCTCATGATGCACAACTTCTGCGATCCGCATTCCACCAAACTGATTCCCGTCCTGTGCCCTAGATTCCGTCCCAAGATTGTGGCCTAAGTTTCCGTTTGAAGAAAAATACTCTTGCGACGACGTATTATTATAAATGTTTATTTTATTATTAATATTTAGGAAATTTATGCTTGTGGGGTTTTAAACTTTAATGAGTTTATAAAAGTATGGATTCATTCAATGTGTTACGCTTTATATCTCGATTATAACGAATTGACTCTTTAATTGCATTGATCTATCATACTGCTTTCGCACTTTCTCTGATGACGTTATTATAAAACGAAGACCACTCCGTGTCTCTCTGCCTACATGCTCTTCAGGCTTGTTTTTGATTCCTACATATATACTTTATATGGGCAAAAACGCTTCCTTCTTCTTGGTACATTCTTTTCAACAAATCTAGTATACCCTTTTCCTCTACGAGTAACAAGCTATCTAAAAATTCAATACCGAATCAATTTCTGACTAGATTATAGTAAAACTTTCGAAAAACTACATCCCAACTGCTAATAATTTCTTATTTATTTTAGAGCTCGGAAGATCTTGATACTGACACTGAATTTGAGCCAGTTGAAGACTTAACCTTGGAAACTCGAAGTCGATGTGAGTAAACTTGTTTAATTATTCCGAATAAATGGGATAAAGGAATATAACATTTTCTGAATTGAATGCACTAACTGATTAACGCTATTGTGTTCTATCAGAAAATGCTTCGAAAGATATTTAAAACTAAGATTTCAACGATTTGTTTGTCGTTCTGTGCACCCCAAATATACTTTAATAACAGCTCATTTTTGAAAGATAATTGTTGGTAGACAATATAGAAAAACTTACGAACTAGAGTATCGATGGGAATTTGAAAAACAAATAATAAAATTAATCAAAACATTTTTTTTTTGTGCTTTATATTATTTAGCAAGTGCTCATACCGGCGATCAAACCGTTGACGAATATCCAGATATTAGTGGCATATGTACAGCTCGGGTAAGTCATTGCTCGCCATTCATATCTATAAAACCGAGAAATATGGGTATTACATAATATGGATTTCAGGAAGCTATGCGAAAAATGACAGAAGAAGACAAACAAAAAATTGCTCAGCAAGTTGAGTTATTCCGTAGAGAAAAACTAACCTTTGATTCAGAAGTTGCTAAGTGGGATGACACTGGAAATGACATTATTTTTCTGGCCAAGCATATGTGTATGATTATGATGGAAATGACGGATTTCACAAGGTAAGTTCCCTAATAAACTTTTTTCACTTTTTGTGGCATTTCTGTTTCAAAAGCAATCTTTTATGGGCAATTGAAGAAATTTGAGTAAAATAAAACTTAGCGCTTAGCACCAAAAGAAACAAAGCACTTATGTATATGGCACTAGGTAAAAAGCTATTTAGAAGCGGGATCTGGGACAACATTTGGCATATGGGCAATTTTGTAAAGCTTATAGTTTTAATATTATAAAAAGCTTGTTTAAAGTATAAAATTATAAGAAAACTAAGAACTAGGAGCAATAGCTACTTAGGCCTTTCGCTCGTTTGGGGTGATGGATTATGGATTACTTATGCAGTTTTTCAGAAAGTTGTTGATATTTTCGTTTGTTGACATTAGTTGGGCTGTCCGATTGAAAGGCTAATATTTTGTATATGGAATGGGAAGGCAGTTTATTATGATGTGTTAAATGTCTATCCGAAAATTTTTGGAATATGGGTTTGTGTTTGGGAGGGATCTGACAAACTCCCCATATCCTGGGCATTAGTAAGGTTGGTGTGTTCAATCTAAGGATTTTTTCTGTATTGTGTTGTGGTGTCATAGGGGAAGTTTAGTGGAGTAGTTTAGTAGTATAACTCTGTTTGTTTAGATTTTACTATTTTGCCGGCGTTTTCGTTGCATAATATGAATTTGTTATTGGGGATATAGATAAGTTTAATTTTTGGGAAGTGCTTAAGATGAGATTTTAGGGCCGTGTTAGTACGAACGTTTTTGTAATGCTGTTTTAAATACATAATTGTTTACTATTATTACTCTTGAAAGGACTGAAGAGTAACCGGACTCTATTTTGCTGGATTCGCAAGATTTCGAGTTCTATTTTTTATAAAGGCTGGTTTTCATTGGTGAAAAGTGTAGATTGAGCTCGACATATGACTTATGTAAAATATTAAATTATTTAATATTAAAATTTCTTTTTGTTGTCTTAAAATGGTTCAAAAGGGGTGAGAGTATGAGCTTGTTAGAAGGTTTGCCCGCATTTAAGAAGGTTTGTAAAAATGTTTTTTCATTTTTTGTGTTTAATTCTTAAATGGAAGTTGTCAGCGTAATAAACGTAATTAATTGGTTTTGGGAGAGACATAATGGCAACAAATGCCAAACTTGCGGGTTGCTGTTTTTAACGGAAAGGTGTTTATTAAATGTACTTTTTATACCCCTTATTCGTAGAGTAAACTATACTAGATTCGTTAAAAAGTATGTAACAGGCAGAAGGAAGCGTTTCCGACCATATAAAGTATATACATATATTCTTAATCAGGATCAATAGACGAGTCGAAATGGCCATGTCCGTCTGTCAGTATGAAAGCCTTGATCTAAGGAACTACAAAAGCTAGAATGTCAGATTAAGCATGCAACTTTCAGAAAAATAGACGAAGCGCAAGTTTGTTTCCAAATGTTGCGACGCCCACTCTAGCGCCCACAAACCGAACAAAACTCTTACGGCCACACTTTTAAAAATTTTTTAATATTTTTTTTGCATTTAATTATTTTTTTCTCAATTTCTAACGATATTCCAAAAGAAAATTTTGAAATTTCTCGTTTGCACTTCCTCTAGCTGAGTAACGGGTATCTGATCTTGTTTTTTACTGTGGTTATTCTGTTTGTCATACATTTAAGAGCGTATATAAGACACTGGGAAATAAAATCGTTTCTGGGTTCATTAATTTTATCAAAAGTTTTGAAAATGTCCAATGATATTATAGATAGGTGGTTTTAGAAATATAGATCTCGTGTCTAGATAGTCCACTAAAGTAATAGTTTGTTGGTTCAAACAAACCACAGTAAACGTTTGGCAAGGCATAGGTTCAAGGATATGTGTCTGCAAGATTTGCCTTATATTAGCGGTTTAAATGGTTTTATTCTACTTACAATATCATTTTAAGAATTGCGGAGTGTCGGAATTTATGACATTGAATTGTTTAAGGTTCTTGGATTCTGGTGAGGGCTTATATGGAGGATATGTCATTTTCTATTTGACAGACTATTTGCGGTTTAATGTTGTGTTGTTGCAAAAATTTTTGTTTGTTCTAAAATTACGGGAAAAATTTTTGTCGTTAGAACCGAATGTGTTAACTATTTTAGATGGGCATGTGAGGTTATTGGGTAAGGCGGTTTTTTATGAAATGCATATGATTGCTGGGCTTAAGACCGAATAGACGGTTAATGTATATTGACTTTTTTTTATTAAAGAAAGTTACAGGTTCCACCAGGGGGGTTATGGGTTGAGGAGAAGGTTGTATTTTATGGAATACCCATGTGTGCTTTTTATAATTTTTTGTTTTGTTTTGAGAGCAGTTTCTTATTTAATAAAGTAACAATTTCACGTTGTTTTAAGTGATTGGGGTATGTAATGTGAATTCAAACGTTTGTCACTTGAAATTTTGGGACCCCATACATTGAGTCCAAATCAATATTTTATTCGTCCCAACATTCTTTATTCAACTCAATGGTTTTCATTCCCACTGCCTACTTCTAGCATTTCGTTTTTTTTTCGTTTTCGAATGTCCCTTTTTTAAAGCTATATATTTTAATTTTTCAAAAATATGGGCGCGCGAGTTGTGTGCAGCTTGTGGGTGTTAAAAGTTGCGTGGTCATAATGTTTTTGGTATACCATTAGAAATTGCCAAGGCAAATAAACATTAAAACAATTAGAGTGTCAATATATGGAAACATAGTTGTGCCTATGAACGTAACGAACATGTTGTAACGAACAGTGGTTAAACCAATCATACGAATATATGTAAAATTGCTTTATATAAATAGTTGGTCCTGAACATGTAATGGATTCCAGTTGTTTACAATGCTCATGTCGCATTTAGAGCAATAAGAGCATTGGCGATATAAATTAAACTAGTTAGGTTTGTATTATTTTATTAGAGCCAACTGCTCTTTATTCTGGTCGGTTTCGAACTAACTACAAATCAAATTTATTAAGGCCGCCAAGTCTTCGGTTGGAGGCAGCGGATCCAGCAGAGCGCTTGATCAGCGCCTCGTGCCGTCCGGCAGTGCGCACATGCCCGCCTCACATTACGCTGACCCATGTACATCGCTTTCGCTAAAGCGAAATGCATTACTAGGCTGGCTCAGCGTCGACTGTTGGCGCACCCGGTCTTGGATGGCATTTCGGCGGGTCGTTGCACCCCTCTGACTTGCTCGTGTTAACTTATACATCGACCTTTGTTTCATAATAAGAATTATTTCATAATTATTATTAATTAGGCATCACTAGAGCGTGCAAACGTCTAGAAACGTCTGAAATTTATATAGTTCCCGAGATCTCCATATATTTAAACTGCAAAACCATTTCTGAAACTTTTTTATTTTATTTATTTGCTTTTTTTTTTATTTCAGAGGACGAGGTCCTTTAAAAACTACTATGGATGTTATTAACGCAGCTAAAAAAATTTCCGAAGCTGGTACAAAGCTGGATAAACTAACCAGGGAAATAGCAGAGCAATGCCCAGAAAGCAGCACGAAAAAGGACCTCTTAGCGTATTTGCAACGAATTGCCCTGTATTGTCATCAAATCCAAATTACTTCGAAAGTAAAAGCAGACGTTCAAAATATAAGCGGTGAACTTATTGTTTCTGGGGTAAGTACAATATTTAAGTTGATGAAAACTTAATTTATAAGAATTTTTTATAGCTGGATAGCGCTACATCGTTAATTCAAGCTGCTAAAAATTTAATGAACGCCGTTGTATTAACGGTAAAGTACTCATATGTGGCATCTACAAAATATACCAGGCAGGGAACTGTGTCTGTAAGTTTCTTTACTACAAAAAAATCGACGGTATTAAATTATTTATTTTTTTTATAGTCTCCAATTGTTGTATGGAAAATGAAAGCACCAGAAAAAAAACCTTTGGTCAGGCCGGAAAAACCAGAAGAAGTACGAGCCAAAGTTCGCAAGGGATCTCAAAAGAAGGTTCAAAACCCTATCCATGCATTATCTGAATTCCAGAGTCCTGCTGATGCTGTTTAAAAGTTGATTTTCTATTAATATATATTAATTACCATAAACAGAGTAGTATCAAAATCATTGCGCTTATCTTTGGTTATTCAAAGCAATCTTAATGCTGCAATCTATTCAGTTTTATCGACAATTACATTCTTATATTATATACTTATCGACCCTATAAAATATAATAAATCATACATACATAAACCGTTTCTGAACACCTTGTATTATTTGACCACGTCTGGTTTAAAAAATTGGGCAGTTAAAAAATTTTGGAGTTTAGAATTTACTATGGGGATTTTTAAAATTTTTGGACTTTTGCATATTTGAACATTCTAAAGTTGACTTTCTTTCAAATTGTATACCCTTTACTCGTATAGTAAACGTATGAAAAGTATGTATCAGGTAGAAGTGAAAAAAACGGTGTGTATACTGCGAAATGTTATTCGCGACTGAAATTAATGAATGGAAAAATAAAATTAGTATCTCATTGACAAGCGTGCACTACTTCTAGAGGATAGATAAGGGGTTCCTATTTTCTGCACCCTTCCTCAATGAATGCAAGTTTACAAATATTAAAACAAATTAACTATTTTTGTAAACCCTTTCCTTATAAATGACAAGAATATGATTTGTTCTGAAATGGTTTACAGGATTCTAGGTTTGCGCTAAGATTGTTGCCATACACGATGACCGTTGCATCCGCAACCTATTTCAAAATCAGACTTTGCATGACCTTAGCCTTTTAATACTGCAGATAGATACTCCGCAGTATTGCTAAGCGTCACGCTTCGTTGATTTTTTGAACGCTAAAAAAATGAATCTCCAGCCAAAAGAAAGTATAGCCAGTGTAAGACTTCCAGAAAATACTTCTCCCACTTTTTATATTGTAGCTTCATGTCAATAGTTGCCTTACGGTATCTGAACACAACCTTTATGGCAGGCATATGTTCAACATGCTAACATCCGATAAGCTAGTTTCGATACTGAGTGCAAGATGTCTGTCCATGTTGTTTTAGCTAGCCATATGATCTCACAAAGGATTGGTAAAACGCTGGTTAAATTTTTTTTGCACTGATTTGACTCAGTCCTTAATATATTCGCGGTCTATTTAGTCATTCTTATAGCGCTTTACATTAAATACCCACTTGCATCAAATTACTTGCTGATCCGTTTCCGAAACCAGAGCGCTCACGATATTAAATTGGCTCTTTGGACGACCAGGTTTTTCTGTCTGGATCATCTTGGGTCGACCAGTTCTCGGAGGTCAACTTTCTTTAACTCCTTTAAATCCAGTACTTCCCAATCCCTTCCCTGCACCTTCGTAATGATCGGAGCTGGCAGTTAAACTACTGTCGAAGATTGTTCTGTTAAAACGTTTTCTGCATTATCATCCTGCTGGCCAAAACACGCTGCATCCCATGCCAACCATGATGTACTCCTTGTTTTGGGTTGAATCCTGCTAACCTTGGGCCCTTGTCCAAAGCAACTGCAAGAGATCCGACCACCTTTAGATGACTGATACATTGCAGCTCCCTTCCAAGAAACTCAACTGCATGGGCTTGCCGACGTCTCCATGCACGCCGTTGTCTACACGGGTCGCAATTGGTGACAGTTTTCAAATTACTCTCTGCTGAAAAAACTCGTGTAGCCCCAATTAAAACCAGTATCAATTCCGCGCTTAGAGCTGAATGATGCACTGCTGACCCGATTGCTAAAAATGGTAACCAATTAATAAACAATTCCTATTTTCAGCACCAGCTGTACATATATTCCGAGATTGTTATGCGCTGGCTTTCAGCTCCACCACAGACCTGGTACACCTACGTCTGCAACCGAACAGCTGAAATATTGAATGACTTTCCTCGTAGTTGCTGGAACCATGTTTCTACGGAAGACCATCCTGCAGATTGCGCCTCTCGACGACTTTATCCATCAAAGCTTTTGGAGCATCAACTCTGTTGGAACGGTCCGTCATAGCTAACCAAATCAGTCTACGATTGGCCAACGTCCGCAAGCAAGTTTAAAGTGCGCTCTTATCTCGACGTAACTACTGAAGAAAGGGCAATACAGCCAACAACTCTGCACACTTCCCCAACGAAAGTATAGAGGGGTTCAGTATCAACAAGATCACCTTTTGTATTCCTAATTGTACGCTTAATTAGTTAGCGACCTGGGTAGGCCTTCATCACAGCTTTGCAACGATATATTGCTCGCGGATCGAGACCTACGGACAACGGGACTACATTTCATGAGACGACTGGACATTCATCAGGCCAAGGACGAGGAAACGACTAATTTCTTCGCCGATGAAGAGATCGCGGTCTGTTGGAAGCCGGAGTACGTTCAATAAAACTACACAAGCGACGTATAATTCGACCGAAAACATTAACCATTGAAGCCATCCTCAACAGCCGTCCGCTTGCCCGGCTGGAGATAATACGTTGGACCCACTTACACCGGTGCATTTCTTGGCTGGGGCTTCCGAACCATGCCGCCTGGAGACGCTCATAAACCGAATGGACAGGTGGAATCAGTTGCAAGCCATGGTTCAAAGTTCTTGGCAAAGGTGGCATATGAAGGACTTGACTTCCCTGCACAAGCGTACCTAACAGCGTACCGACAGCCTAATTTACCCCCATCTAAATGTATCCTTGGACGTATCACGTATGTTACTGTGAAGACTGTCAATGGCGTGTACTAACGCCCAAAACGCAATATTGCCCTTATGCAGAACAAACGTTCAGGGGGACCGGTATGTTTGGGAACAAGACACCCTGTTTTTCCACTCTTCATCTACCTTTGTAGAGTTACAATTTCTATGCGTTTCTTATCACATTAAATCCGCTCATGGTCACATGTATCGTTTGATATGTAGGCCTTCGGCCTTTCCTAGTACTTTTCCATGTAACTTGTTTACATCTTTAGCATAAGCATCGTATGATACATTCACCGGTTCAAGAAGTCACATTTTTGCTGTCAATGCAACCAGCCGCATCGCGGTCACCGAAGTCCAACTGTACGAAGTTCGAACCAATAAATATAATAGTAACAGATGCACTACTGGCGTTTAATTTACAAACAGGCATGTAGATTTCAGAGCGCATGTTTGTCACATTATGTTGTCATGCACACTCTAACGCCCACAAAATGCACAAAATTGTCACGTCCACACTTTTGAAAAATGTAATATTTTTAAATATATCTTGTAAATTTCTATAGAAAATGTAAACTTCCAGAAAATTTTGAAATTGCTCGTTCGCACTTCCTTCAGCTGAGTAAGGCGTATCTGATAGTTGGGGAACTCGACTATAGCATTCTCATTTGTTCATAATGGTGTACATAGATAATGTATCAATAATATGGTGTAGATAATATGGACAAATCGCCTCGGATCGTAGACAGCAGCTCAGTCATGATATTATCCTACCGAATATTAGCCTTTAGCCTTTTAGGGTTTAACTACAGATGTAAATCTATCAGAGTACCCCTATAAGGAGGTAAATTGATCATGGCATTGAGCAACTGGAATTCGCTCAATATCAATTCCCTCGAATCCTGGAGCTTTATCGGGTGTGCAATTTTTGTATTTCAATAAAGACTTCTTCCGGACTTACGTGACGAATGGGCTGTACATCTGGGCATGGAGTATTAAGGAATGCCAATGTTGCCGCTTGGCAAGGTCAAATGACTGAATTCAACCTTTCAGTTCGTCAGCAAAAGCGATGTTTCTGCATTACATCTGCACCAAGTGTTGTCAGCACGCTTTATAGGGATTCTACGAGGGACTGGCGATTAACTGATCTTGCTGCTTTACAGAGGTTAAGTCAATGCGCTTTTGTGAGATCAGCATTGCGTAGCCGATCAGCGAAATAGTCGTCTTTGTTTTGTGCAGCAACAAAACGCAGGACAAATGGGTGGGTCGATGATGTGCATTCCATCTCCGGCAATTAGAAATTTTGGTTCTTATCCTTCAAATAGTATATTGAAGTGTTCGCTGGTGCAAATACTATTTCGCCGTTGGTCCGTTTTAGCCTTGACTGCGACACATTGAGCACTTTGATGTTCCATTTTCTGAAATTGGTAGTATTTGATAGTCACCCCATCGCAGTTCCACACACCAATTTTAAGTCCAATTTGACTCATGGTTGGATGAACTGGGAGAAGTCCAGAGATTGTTTAAGCAGTTCCTGGCACGTGCTGTGATATGATGAGTGTCATTATTGACACTATGTCCGAGGGCGGATATTTCTTCTTCAGATCGCATGAAAATTGGTTGCTGTCATTGCTTTATGAAAATTTTCCAAATGTTGGGTTGAATTTGGTTTTCGTTCGCTAGTTGCGATCCCTTTGTTTTTTGGCATTTCTGGCTGTGCTTCCGGTTCCTATTCCCTAGAGGAGTATATTCTTGCCTGCATAGTTTGCATACGTCCGGCGGCAACGCTCCCGTATGAAAGAGAAGGCGCATTGCCTCTTCGTGCAACTGATCCAATAGCTGGTTGTTGCTACACCTACTGTCTGCTGGTAGACGAGACAGCCCTTGTACCGCCACAGTTGACGCATTTTACTGAATAGACTTCTCGTAGGCGGTCCTCAATGGCATGTTGCTGACCACATCTTACACAGATAACTTCCAAATGGCATTTATTTTTATGTGTTTTCCTTTTTTGTGTCTGACCCGATTGCTAAAAATGGTAACCAATTAATAAACAATTCCTATTTTCAGCACCAGCTGTACATATATTCCGAGATTGTTATGCGCTGGCTTTCAGCTCCACCACAGACCTGGTACACCTACGTCTGCAACCGAACAGCTGAAATATTGAATGACTTTCCTCGTAGTTGCTGGAACCATGTTTCTACGGAAGACCATCCTGCAGATTGCGCCTCTCGACGACTTTATCCATCAAAGCTTTTGGAGCATCAACTCTGTTGGAACGGTCCGTCATAGCTAACCAAATCAGTCTACGATTGGCCAACGTCCGCAAGCAAGTTTAAAGTGCGCTCTTATCTCGACGTAACTACTGAAGAAAGGGCAATACAGCCAACAACTCTGCACACTTCCCCAACGAAAGTATAGAGGGGTTCAGTATCAACAAGATCACCTTTTGTATTCCTAATTGTACGCTTAATTAGTTAGCGACCTGGGTAGGCCTTCATCACAGCTTTGCAACGATATATTGCTCGCGGATCGAGACCTACGGACAACGGG